CCCCAAAACCCCAAAACCCCGCAAATCAGAATTTCAAGTATGTTAGGGGAATATTTGAATATAATTAAGTGAGATAGAACCGCCAAAAGCCTTAAGATTACAATTAATTTTAAAATCAAATAATATCGCAAAAGCTCGTAAATCAAAATGCAGCAAAAAGCTCTAACTTCGTTCTTCTCTTCAGCTAGGCAGTCCAACGTATCCTAGCAGAATAATTAGAGGGAACTCATTCAGCAGAAATCAAGGACTCTAGTTGAATCTATCACACCAGAGAAATTCGGCTTTAAAAGCAATAAAACTCAAGCTTCTAAGTAAAAAGGTGGCCATTCTAAAAATGCGCACCCTTCAGTTGGTGAAAATCAAAATATGAGTGGTAATTTTAGAAACATAATTAATGTCTTCGTTTAGATGAGTCAGAATCAAGTTTAATGAGACCTAGAACTTAAAAGAGGCCTGTCATAAATGATGATGAGGAAGATAGTGATTATGAAGGGCAAATCGACATTGACTCTGATGATATCTCAATAGTTTTGGATTCTGAGGAAGATTCCGCGGAAGAGTCTAAGAAAAAAGGGGGAGTAAAAAGGAAAGCCCCCGCTAAATAACAAAAAAAAGGAGGTAAGTTATCTGAGATAACTCCAAAGCCTGCTAAAAAAAACAATGCCTTGCTGAAAAATTCACATGCTAGTACAGCTAGTGGCACTGATAAGAAATAAAACAATAACAGAAGAAGTGATATATCGAACAATACTAATAGTGACTAAATTCTAATGAAAGAAGAAACTTCATTCGTTGATAACGAAGATCAAGTAATTGGAGGTGGCTTCTCCTCTATGGATGATATTCTTGATGCCAGACCAAAGTTTATAAAAGAGGAGTTTATCAAAGACATTGAAGGTAGGCGCCCTGACCATCCTGATTTTGATCCTACATCTCTATACATTCCACCTGATGAATGGAAGGGCTTCACACCCGCAATGTTTCAGTATTGGGAGATAAAGTAGCACAACCTTGACAAAATTTTATTCTTTAAGCTGGGCAAGTTCTACGAAATTTTCTACAATGATGCAATTGTTTGTCAGAAATTACTTGATCTCAATTGGATGGGTGGTGCTAAAAAGCTACATATTGGCTTCCCTGAGAAGGTGCTTGACAAATATCTTGTGACAATGGTTAACAATGGATTCAAAGTTGCTGTGATTGAATAAACTGAAACCCCAAAAATGATGGAGGCAAGAATTAAAGCTGATAAAGGTAAAAAGTAAAATCAGTCAGATAAATGCGTAAAGAGAGAGATATGCAACATGGTTACCAAAGGAACATTCAAAGACTCAAACTAGCTTGGGTACTAGCCAAAGTTTGTACTCTCAGTTAAGAAATACTCTAATGAAATTGGTGTAACTTTCTTTGATGTTCAGACTCTAAAAATTTATATTGGCTAATTCTAAGATGACGATGCTTTATCAAACTTCAGAACCTTACTTTGTCAAATTAGACCTGTTGAAGTCATTCATGAAAGGGAAATAATTAACTCAGACTTGATTAAAATGCTCAAGAATTCTCCTATTGTTCCTGTGTTTACTCCAATGGTGCCAAAGAATTGCTGGGGAGTCATTAAAACATGTAATTCTTTAGAAAACTATATTGGAAACTCTAAAATCTGGCCTGAGCCATTGCAACAACTTAAAAATTAGGATGCAGAACTTGCCCTTTAATCACTTGGAATGGCCATCGCATTCCTTGAAGAAGCTTTGATTGCTTAATAAACCATTTCAACTGGTGATTATATTCTATATACACCAGAAAGTTAATCTTAGCTTGAATACATGGTGCTAGACAGTCAAGCTCTTTAGCATCTCGAGGTGGTTGAAGCAGCCACAGGTAAATTTGAGGGCTCTCTTTTGCATTACCTTGATCACTGCAAGTCCCCATTTGGTAAGAGATTGCTTAAGAAATGGGTGCTTTCCCCAATGATGAACATAAATAAGATCAATGATAGATTAGATGCAATTGAAGATTTAATGACTCATCAATTCGAGACTGATGTTTTCAGATAAAAGCTTAGCAAGCTACCTGACCTTGAGAAACTATTGGCAAAAATATATACCTACTCAATCAAGCATAGAGTCAAAGCTATCTACTTCGAAAATGTTTCACTAATCAAGTTAAGAGAGTTCAGAACTCTATTAAAGTAATTTAAGGGAATTTATGATCTTTGTGAGTCATTAGTGAACAAGGTATAGTAATTAAAGTCGGAGAGACTTAAAAAATTATTAACGACAGATGAAGAAGGAGGAATGATGCCTTCAGATATCAAGGAAATCATAAAGGAATTTGAGAAAATGATTATCTGGAAGAAAGCTTCCAATGGAGAAGATGAGATTCCAGAGCCATAACCAGGCCTTGACTCTGAATTTGATACAACTAATGCAGTTGTGGATGGTGTCAAGAGAAGATTAGAGGACTACCTTAAAGAAATGAGAAACAAATTCAAGGATCGCAGAATTACATGGTCTCATGCTAAATACAGATATGAGCTGGAGATGCCATCTGAATTAATAGAGGGCAACAAGAAACCAGATAACTTTGAATTTACCTCTCAGAGATAGGGCTATCAGAGATTCCATACCAAAGAAATTAAACAAATGGTAGATGAACTTGAATATGCAGAGGATAAGCTTAAGGATGCACTCACTCCTTTCTTGTGCGCCATATTCCAAAGATTCCATGAGCATAAAGACCTTTGGAACAGAGCTCTAGATGTAATCACTGAGCTTGATTGTCTCTGTTCTCTCAGCATAGTTAGCAGTCAGAGTAATGACGAGATGTGTAGACCTCAATTTATTGACTACACAGGTGAATACAAAAATTCTAGTTTTCTTGACATCAAGTAGTTGAGACATCCATGTGTTACACTTAACCAAACCAAAGCATTTGTGCCAAATAATACGTTTGTCTCTCCCAATGACAATCAAACTGTGCTCTTAGTCACAGGTCCAAACATGGGTGGTAAATCAACCTTACTGAGATAGACATGCATGGCTGTTATTCTTGCTTAAATAGGTTGCTTTGTTCCTGCTTAATCCATTACTCTGACTCCAGTTGACAGAATATTTACTCGTATTGGTGCTAGTGATCGTATTCTTGAGGGCAAATCTACTTTCTATGTTGAAATGGAGGAAACTAAGAACATTATCCAATTCGCGACTTATTAGTCACTCGCTATAGTTGATGAACTCGGAAGAGGTACCTCAACTTTTGATGGATATTCTATTGCTCATGCTGTATTAAAGTACCTTGTAAATAAGATCAGATGCAGATCTCTTTTCTCTACACATTATCATATGCTACTTGATGAGTTCAGAGGATTTCCAGGAGTGCAAAACTATCACATGGCATGCAAGGCTAATGAGGAAAAAGATGAGGTCATGTTCCTCTACAGATTTGAAAAAGGTGAATGTCCAATGAGTTTTGGTATTAATGTTGCTAGAATGGCTGGCATTCCTCGAGGAGTTCTAGATCATGCCAAGAAAAAGAGTTTAGAGTTCAGTGAGAAGCTTCATAACTTGACCGAAAAGGTAAAGGAATACAAACTGAAAGGAAACAGCTAATGAAAAGGATAAATGATGGAGGAATTCTAAGAATAAGAGGAGAATGGAATGGAGGTAAACAGTAATATTTGCCACCTCATTCAGTCTATAAATCTTGGCTAGATGAAGCAGAACTAACTTACCATCAAATCTTAGTGAAGATTACTATAAGATGAATAGAATCCTGGCTCTATATAGATTTAGTGTCTTTTGATTTATTTTGGCTTATTTAACAACTTTTATTTCATTAATAATTCTTGATAATTTGCCATCATGGGGTTTTGGGGTTTTGGGG